GGGGGCACTGGCACCCCAAAGGGGACAGGGGGCTGTGGGGGCACTGGCACCCCACCGGAGGACAGGGGGCTGTGAGGGCCCACGGGGGGCACTGGCACCCCAAAGGGGACAGGGGGCTGTGAGGGCACACGGGGGGCACTGGCACCCCAAAGGGGACAGGGGGCTGTGAGGGCACACGGGGGGCACTGGCACCCCAAAGGGGACAGGGGGCTGTGGGGGCACACGGGGGGCACTGGCACCCCAAAGGGGACAGGGGGCTGTGGGGCCACACGGGGGGCACTGGCACCCCAAAGGGGACAGGGGGCCGTGAGGGCACAGGGGGCACTGGTACCCCAAAGGGGACAGGGGGCTGTGAGGACATGTGGGGGCACTGGCACCCCACCGGAGGACAGGGGGCTGTGAGGGCACACGGAGACGCTGGCACCCCACCTATGTCCCTCGCCAGGGCCAGGGCCTCGCCAGGGGGCTGTGAGGGCACACGGGGGGCACTGGCACCCCAAAGGGGACAGGGGGCTGTGGGGGCATGTGGGGCACTGGCACCCCAAAGGGGACAGGGGGCTGTGGGGGCACAGGGGGGCACTGGCACCCCAAAGGGGACAGGGGGCCGTGAGGGCACAGGGGGGACGCTGGCACCCCAAAGGGGTCAGGGGGCTGTGGGGGCACTGGCACCCCAAAGGGGACAGGGGGCTGTGAGGGCAAACGGGGGCACTGGCACCCCACCGGGGAACAGGAGACCGTGAGGGCACAGGGGGACGCTGGCACCCCAAAGGGGACAGGGGGCTGTGGGGGCACACGGGAGGCACTGGCACCCCAAAGGGGACAGGGGGCTGTGAGGGCACATGGGGACGCTGGCACCTCACCAGGGGACAGGGGGCTGTGAGGGCACACGGGGGGCACTGGCACCCCAAAGGGGACAGGGGGCTGTGGGGGCACTGGCACCCCAAAGGGGACAGGGGGCTGTGGGGGCACTGGCACCCCAAAGGGGACAGGGGGCCGTGAGGGCACAGGGGGGCACTGGCACCCCCCCCGTGTCCCTCGCCAGGGCCAGCACCCACCTGTTTGATGGGGATGGCGCGGCCGCTGCCGGTGGCCTCGCCCCGGCTGTCCAGGCTGCGCTTCTCCGAGTCGCTGCCGCGGCGAGTCTGCGGGCACAGGGGCGGGGACGGGGCTTGGTACGCGTGGCACGGCCGGGGACACCGGGGTGCCCGCCTGGCCCCCACTGCTGGAGCCTTGAGTTGCCANGGCCACCAAAGGCCACCAGGGACACTGGGATCACCGGGGCCACCAAAGGCCACCAGGTCCCTGGGCTCACCAAACCCACCAGGGTCACCGTGGCCACCAGGGCCACCAAGGACCACCAGGTCCTGGACTCACCAGGACCACCTGGCTCCCCGTGGCCACCAGGGCCACCACGGCCACCGGGTCCTCGAGCTCCTCAGGAGCCACCGCGCTCAGCGAGGCCACCACAGGACAGGCCCCGCCCGTGCCCCGGGAGGTGGCTGCGGCCCCGGGCGCGGGTGGCACTCACCCGAGGAGGTGAGCGTGGCCGGTGGCACTCACCCGAGGAGGTGAGCGTGGCCGGTGGCACTCACCTGAGGAGATGAGCTCGGCCGGTGGCACTCACCTGAGGAGACGAGCTTGGCGCTGGAGGCCGAGGCGCAGCGCTGCAGCGACCGCTCGCCCTTGCCCACCACCTTCA